TTTTTATATCTATTAAGTTGGCTATACGTTTTTATTCCTTTGATCTATTTATGTGACGAATTATAGTAATTGATGCTCTAATGTCAAACCAATATTTCATTCTTGTAATAAACCCACTTGGTCAAAATACTTTATCTTTTTGCACACTATTGGGTTCGTTTCAATAGTTTATTGTATATAAATTTTCCCATATACCTATATGTGCGTTTGACTTACAATTTTCCTTTCTGTCTTTGTAAGGTTTCAGTATCAAGGCTATTCCAACTCTTAAAGGAGTTAGGGAACATCCCCCTCCTTTTTAGATACTCTGGAATACTTTATATGACATTAGAAATATTTGGTTCTTGAAGGTTTGATACAGCACATCCGTAAACACATTGAGGCCACATAGTAGGTTGTCAGGAAAGTCATAGCGTATTTTTCTGTTTTCCTATGCAAAATGCATCATGACTTTCATGGTAACCCAATATTTTTTGTGGGTAGATTTTAAACTACCAATTTTAACCTTCTAATCTTACATGTTTATAGGGACTAGACACCTTTTCTATTTCTTCCTTAGACCACTTTAATACAATTCACTTCTTAAGAAAATTGCCCATTTTATCTCAATTTCAAATATATTAGAATGTTTTCATAGTACCCCATCATTATTATTTTTTATTTCTGTATTACCTATAGTTAATGACATTTTTTAAATTCCCATTAGAGGCCAGCGGGTGGTGTAGTGGGTACAATGCTAAACTCCCACATGGCCAATTTCAGTTCGAGTCCAGGACCTGGCAGCTTGAATGCCACAACAGGCCCATGTGCATGCGTGCCCAAAATTTCAAGAGGAGAATGGAGGAGAGGGGATTGCAGCATGGACATCCACCCTGGGGGGTGACTTTTCACTCTCCTTCTCACTGTCTCTTTCTGTCTCTCTCCAGTGAGCACATGTGATCTATGGGGGGGGAGGGGAATAAATAAAGATTCCCATTCATTTGTTCTTTGGATTTCTCACTTTTTTTTTTTTTTTGGAGAGGATTTTGCTATAGGGTGTGTGCGCTTGCCAGAAAAAGACAGAGAGAGACAGAGAGACACAAAGCGAGAAATCCCCCCCCAGGGGCGATGGCCAGGCCACAATCCCTTCTCCATTCTCTTCTCAGGATCTTGGGCACGCATGCATACACACCTGGCGTGAGTTTAAGCCACCGGGTCTGGGACTCAAACCGTGGTCAACTACATGAGAGTCCAGTGACATAGCCATTACGTTAACTGCTGGTCCTGGATTTCTCACTTATATCTTCACGTATTTGTCAAAGATTTGTCTCTTTATTGCTTGTATGTGAGCTTATGTTTGCTGAGAAGTTTTTGAGCCTTGGGTTAAAGGCACGTTCTCCCAGACAGCTTTTGTGTTTGCCCCTGGTCAGCACCTGTGGGCACTGCCATCAGAGAAAACTCTCAAATAAATTTCTGGTTTGAGGTGTCTCAGAACACAAGGAATGGAAATTCAGACTGCAAGTCCATGTGAAGGCCAGATTGTGGTTAAGAATTTTAAGAGGAGATTTATTTTTTTCTCTACCCAGAACTAACGTTGAGGCAGGCACCTATTCTAGTCTGTTTTTGTAATAAGGACTGTATTCTTTTCTTGATGAAGATGTGTCCTTTCTTAGTCCTCACTGTGTTAGATACACAAGGATGCTCCCACCCACCTACTCATTAATAAGCCCTAATCTTTTTGTTGTTTTTAGAGAGGTTTTGTGCTATAGGACACATGCACTCGCTGGGGAGACAGAGAGACAGAAAATGAGAAATCACCCCCCAGGGGGATGGCCATGCCACAATCCCTTCTCCTTCATTCTCCTCTTAGGATCTTGGGCATGCACACACATGCGCCTGGTGTGAGTTTAAGCCACCAAGTCTGGGACTCAAACTGCTGTCCACTACATGGGAGTCCAACAACATAGCCATTATGCTAACTACTGGTCCCAATAAGTCCAAATCTTAAAAACAACTGTTGGTCACTTGGGGACCAGGTGACTTCAGGACGGTGCCAGCTTGAGTGGACATTTACCTCTATGAAGACCTGTTTTTGCATTGTATTTAGTAGGGCAGAGGAGGCCTTATAAGGCCATCTTGACTCTCCTTCTGTCTCTGCCTTTTTTTTCTTCCAGAATTTTCTGAAACTCACCCAAGGTTGAGTATTGTTAGCTGAGAGGGACCCTCCCAACCCAGTAGTGGGTCCCACTGGCTGGAAGACGGAAGGACCAGGAAGCTGGAAATTAGTAAAACTGCAAGGGGGAGTTCTCTGAGTTTGGGATCCCTGCCCCCTAATGAGAGGGTTTGTTTAACCACAGCTCCCAGTGCCTGCTAGAAAATTCTGTGAGAAACCTGGAGATGAAAGTTGAAGAGACTGCCTTTGCAGGTTGAAGGACCACCCAAACTTGTGCCTAAATTTTGGACTCCTACACTAAGGATGTCCAGCCTTCAGTTTGGAGATAAGCTAAAAGGCAAACCATACATTTAGAAAGGGACAACTTCGTTCCTTAAATAACTAAACTTTTTTTTAACAGAATATTATGCACCCCAAATTCAAGCCATTCTCCCATTTTTTTAATTTCAATTTGATGGAGGGAGTGCATGCTCACCAGAGAGACAGAAAAAGAGAGGAGAAAGTACCCTCCAATGAGGCAGTCATGCCACAATCCTCTCTCCTCCATTTCTCCATCCTGGTGGGACTTGGGACACACACATGCCTGATATTTTTTTCAAGCCACCAAGGCCGGGATTCACACTGTGGTTGACCATGTAGGATCCAGCACCCTTAGCCACCAGGCCACGGGGCTGGTCTTCCTATGTCAAATTTTAAAAGTTGAGCTGCTTCCGCTAATTAGTGAACTATCGGGGGCTAGTATGCACATTATTCTGTTCAGTATTAAAGGCCCAGGAATACCCTACTCCTTGACCAGGTCCTCCTCCAGTAGCAGTCCGGGGTATGCTAACATGAGGTCAGGGTGACACAAGTGACCAGCAAGAGCTGGCCAGAGTCATCCCTGCCTTTAAGAAGGGGGTAGGGCATTAGAGAAGATGGGTCAGCATGGGAGGTTTCAAGGAAGAAACACAAAGCAGAGGGAGGACCACAAGGCAAAGAGCCACTGTCCAGCCAACTCAGCTGGCAGGAGACCTTGCACAAGTAAGTCACTTTCCCTGTCTGGATCTTAGTGGCTTCATTTTCCAAGTTAGGCATTCGAGCCCCACAGTCTCCAAGGTTCCTGAGAGACCTGATTTTGATTTTTCTCCATCCCTTGGAAGACAGGCATTCTCCTTCACCCAAGCGTCGGCATGAATAGAGCTAGAGAAAACTGGACCGGCGTTAGGAACTCCAGTGCCGCAGGGGCCGGCCGAGAGTCCGAGGATGAAGCCATGGTAGGAAGAGACTGTGGCCCACACAAGGCAGCATGCCTATCTAAAGGAAGCTGCTACTCTTCTATTCCAAAAAGTTGTGACCAAGAGGAAAGATCTTGCAACATTTTGAGGGAAAAAAAGGAAATTCTGATTTTTTAATGTAGTTGCTGATTGTTGTATCTTGGCAATAAATTCTTTAAAAAAAAAAAAGAAAAAGAAAACATGTGAGGGACCAGCAGATGGTGAAATGGTTATGTCACTGGACTCTCACATAGTCGAGACAGTTTGTGTCCTAGACACCGGGTGTGTGTGCATGCATGCCCAAGATCCTGAGAGGAGGATGGAGGAGAAGGGACTGTGGCGTGGTCATCCCTTCGGGGAGTGATTTCTTGCTTTACTTTCTGTCTCTCTTTCTCTGCCTTTTCGACGAGCCCATGGGCCCTTATAGCAAAAACCACTCAAATTTAAAAAAAAAAAAACCTGTGTGGGGGCCTGCAGGTGGTATGGTGGTTAAGGTCCTGGACTACCACATGGCTAACCACAGTTTGAGTCCCAGACCTGGTGGCTTACTTTCTTGCTTTCTCTACCTGGTTAATTATTTTTTTAATTAATAAAAAAAAAAAAAAAAAAAAAAAAAACAAAATACGCACCCTATAGCAAAAACCTCTCCAAAAAAAGAAAAGAAAAAAACCAGATATAGCCTGCAGACTTACAGTTTATCCCCTCTGGCAAAGAGGATGCTATGATGTGATAAAAGTTCCTTTCATAATTGAGCCTTTCCAGGAGGTTGGTCATTGATTTCCTCTTAAGTTTAAAATACAATGCACAGAAGCCCATTCTGGAATTTGAGGCACACTGGATCGACAATTTAGGTTCACGGACCTGCTGCCTCTCACCCCAAGGAGCTGTGCCTCTCCCTTCAATTCAGGACTTCTGTCCACTGTCCTTCCCCATGCCCCTCGGTGTGACCCTGTGCTCCACCCCTTCAGGAAGGAGCTGGGACACCACAGGGAGCAGCCACTCCAGCTCTTCCCACACCAGCTCCTCCCCAACATTAGAGCTGAGATGTGGCCACCAAGATACCTGACCAGCAGACGTGAGGAGCAGAACCCACAGAGGGGGACAGTCACAGAGATCAAGTCACTGCCCCTGGGTCCCAACCCAGTGGTCAGGTGGCAGCAAGTGTGCCCACTAATGGGACTAGGGCCATGAGAGTTCCTTCAGTGGCTCCATTTCTGGTCCCAACCAACTCGACTCAGTTGTTTCTAAACAAAACAGGAGAATGTCAGTTGATAGGTTCTTATTTGACTAACTGTGGCTTTGAGAAAGAAAACACACTCAGATTTTATATCAAACACATTTATTCTTAAAGTAAGAAGCTCAGAAAGGATAGCTAGAGAAGAACAAAATATTTAACAGAAAAAAAAATAAAATAAAAACTATGAACACTAGCCAAGCCACAAATACCATCGTAGCATAGTTATTCCATGAGTACTTTTCCAGCAGGGCAGAACACATGTGTTAAAATTAACTGTACTCTCTTAACACCTCTCAATGGACATGCACGATGATAAGAACAAATATTCTAGGACTCCTGTCCTTAAGATCTTAAAGAATGAGTTTGCACACACTCAAAAACAAATATAGTACAACATATCCAAAATAGTTCACATCCATTTTTTTTAAAAAAAGAACCATAAAACCATTCTGACATCGAAGGAAATTAAAACAGCAAGATGAAAACAGGCAAGAGACAGACTGCTACTTCTATGTGCAAGGTATTGGATTCTTGCACTGAGAATCCTAGTGTCAGTCCTCACTTCACACATCACATTGAAAAACTGTGGCAGAAAAATGAGTGACCTTCAATATGAAGGATGTGAGTTGTGTACACTGATAACACTCACGGAGATACAACAGCATTGCAGGAGGAATGTCAGTGTACAGAATAGACCTTTTCAGGAGGTCAGAAACACTTGAGTTATCAGATGACCTTTTAGATATTTGAGTAAAGCAACTGCAGTGTTCTGGTTTAATCAAGGCACTTGCTAAGAACTATCTTTGACGTGACATGGAGTCTCTGTGTGTTGTTGGCCCTTGACGATGGCATGGCTTCTGTTAGGTGTCACCCAGACAGGATGCCTTGCTCACAAAGTCACTTACATTAGAGCTGCGAAGCCAGATTCGCTTACATTTTTGCCCAAATCACAGTTTTTGACAGATCACATTTGAATAGAAAGGCTTAAGATGTTGATTCTCAGATGTTGATTCTCCAGAGTTAATTCGTCTTCCCCTGTACCACCCAAAACTTTCCATGGTTATTTGGCTTTTCTCCACAAGAATACACAGAATGGATCTTTCTTCCCCCTCTACAAATCATTCCCCCAAGAGAGAACCACCTTAAAACAATCGTAAAACCACCACGAAACCACCTTACATTTTCTTACCAACAATGGAGTACCAGGTCTCCCTCACCTGCTCTGACCTGAGTTGCAGAGCCCTGGGGTAGGCTTTCCACACGTTCTCATACCATTAACACAGCTTGCCATCGCCACCCATTGTCCTTCCTCAACTTGCCTCTGCTCAACATGAAAGCTAGTGAATTGAGAGGGGAGCGGGAAGGCCACTGAAAAAGCACTGCTCTAATGAAAAATAGTTCCCAGACTGTTCCTTGATCCTCCAAAGCAAGATGGGGTGGCATCACCTGGGCACTAAATTCCCAAGGGGCTCTCTTTCCTGTAGCCACATCTCCAAAGCTCAGACCTAAACCTACTGATGGAAGGTAGCGAAGGCTTCCTACTATTGCGCAATGCAGACCTAGAATTGCACGGGGAATACGACGGGTCAAGACCAGTCACTAGGTCACTTAATTCATCGATAAGAGGCCAAGGTCTCCATTCTTCCCCAGCTCTGCCATTCTGGGAAAAGCCCACTTGCCAGGCGGGGACTGCCGAAGATTGTCGATTCTACCTCTGACTTAGGGGGCGCCTGGCGGAACACACAGTCCTTGGGCGCCATCTGTGTCTGCACCCCATCCGGCTTCCACTGCACGTGGACAATTCTATAATTCTGACCCTCGTTGTTGTCCCAGAACACCTGCCCATTAGCATGGTAAGAAATGCAAAACTCAATTTTCTCCTCAGTTGGAATGACAGGGGGTAAGTCAACAGCAAAGGAGAAGGTGTCACTGTCGGAGCCACCGTACACGTTTTTCATGTAGACGCAGTCCACGTCGGTGTAGCTTTTCCAAGTATCAAAAGTGATGCGGATCTGAACCTTCTTCTCAAAGCTTATGTTTTTTACTTTCACGGTCCCCGTCACTGTTCGCTCTTGCAAAGAGCAGTTCTCCAGACAGACAAAGTTCTTCTGAAAGTGGTTCCGGAAGCTTAGGTAATCAGACGAAGGCTGAGGGAAATCTAAAATCAAGTTTTTCTCCTCATGGAGTTTTAAGCCAGAGGAGATATCGTGAAAGTCCGAGAGATCAAACTGGAGGTCCCAGGCTGGCTCTTCTGGGAGGTCAGAGAAGACGTGAATAGCGGTGAGAGAGAGGCCTTTGGAGTCAGCAAACACCACCCGCTTTTTGGCCTGGTTGTGGGAGCGCTTCCAGCCGTTCTGTGATTCGGCTTCCTGTTTCATGTTGAGACACGATTTCAGAGGCTTGAGTTTATTCACAAAGTTTCGGCGCTGAAAGTCATCATAAGGGCCCAGGAAACTCTTCAGCGGTGGTGAATGAGCCAAGCAGAGCCTCATGGCCACGTCCACTGGCATGACCGAACTTGTCAAAGGACGAGGATCTAAAACCTGGATCATCCTAGAATGCAAGTGGAAGAGGGGTTATCACCTGGATCCTCTCGGCCCAATACAGAACTATTTTTGTACTGGCTGAGCTATGGCCAGTGCAGTGGCAGGGAGGAGCTATCCTGGGAAGTAAAAGAGAACAGCATCAAGTGGCCAGATCTGCATCTTGTCTCCTCTGCCTTGGCTGGTTACAGGGCCATGGGTTAACTGCTTTAAACACTTGCGGGAGAGCGCTGTCTCAGTTTCCTCATCTGAGAAACGAAAGGGCTGGATGTGATGATCTCTAACACAGCTACAAGAACCATTTGCTCTGGTATGGACCAGTTATTCTCAAATCTATCTGGTCACCAGGGTCTAGACAATTAGTTTTCTTTTTTCTTTCTTTCTTCTTCTTTTTTTTATTTTTTTAATTGAGATTCCTGGAATTTAAAGCCACTGAGATGAAACCTCTGGGGGTAGGGCCTACCTCCTGGGCCCTACCCCCAGAGGTTAAATTTCCCCAGATTATTCTAATGACTAGACAGATTCAGGAACCACCGTTCCAGACCCTGTGCTTCATTTGGCTGCTTTTGCTGTTAAATTGATGACATTTATCAAATAAGAAAAAGAATAGCAATAAAAATTCTTAAGGAACAAAAACTCTTGAAAGTGAAAGGGTAAGAAAGCCAGAGAATTGTCTTTAATTATCATGCTCTTCCTCATTTTTCACAAATAACCTGTGAAAATACAAGTCGACAATTCATGCACTTAAAAAAAAAATTGCATCATCTATATTCCATACAGGAAGATGCCCATGAGAACTCCACGCTTAAATAGACAAACTCGAACATTTGGTTTTGGAATCTATATATGAACTTATAAATACTGGAAAATGTAAGAAAAGCACACCAAAAAGTTAGCAATGATTTCTGGTGATGGCTTTGCAGGTAACTTATTTTCAGTTCTGTACCATTTTGGTATTTCCTGAGGCTTTGGCAATTGGACATTTATAAGAAGAAAGGCAATAAAGCTACTTAAAATTTTAAATATAACTATGCAGAGCAAGATGCAGCCACCAAGAAGAATATTTTTCCCGACTATTAGCCCTCATTACATACTGCCAAGCTTAGGGAATTTGGTTTGGGGGGGAGGGGAGTATCTTAGCCTTACAGATAAGAGGTGTATGTAGAGCATACATGACATTTCTCACCCTGGCTTTAGTAACTCTTCACAGCAGCTCTTATCCCAAGATGGGTAATAAAGATCACTCACAGAATTTATTAGCTCAGATTTGTCGGGAAGACCTAGAAACTTACAATAAACAAAAGAAAGCTAAAGCTCTGTCTGTGGTCTAACAGTTACGAGGATTTTTAAAGAAGCCTTCTGCTTGTCTAGAGGAGCTATATAAAGCAGTTTTATGGGAGGAACTTTTTCTCTTTTTTTTTTACTTTTTGCATTTATAGAAAGACAATTTTAGTAATGAGTGATTTTCCTGGAACTTCATATCCTGGCCAAGAGTTAAAAATAATAGTTTGCTCAAGCTCTGAGACTTTGCTATGAGAAACCGTGATAAGAGTGGAGGAGGATGAATAAATGCAAAATTATTTTGTAATTTTCCCCTCGAGCAGAACTACCTAACCAGCAATGTCAGAGTGTTGTTCGCACAAGTTAACTGCGCCTGAATTCTTGGGACACTCATGCAGAACCAAAGGATGATAGTTGCGTCAGTGAGCGAATCCTAACTAAAGCTGACTCACGTTCTGAAGGTTTCTGCTTTGGGATGCTGATGACCAAAACGGGCTGTGCCTAAGGAATACTGCGCTAACGCCTCGGAGGCGTCCGGGTGCCAGAGTGAACTCAGCATCCAGCCACCTTGTCCTTCCCCGGAGTCTCCATTTGCAGAAGGAAAACGCCCCCGACTTCCCCGCAGCTGCGCGCTACCGTCTGCTCCCAGGAGCAGAGTTGCAGCGAACCTACCTGGTGCAGCTCATTAGGCGAGAAGCGACTGCGGACCGTGAGAGCCAGCACCCCGCTGCCTGTAAGTTAGTAGCCCAGCTCCGGACAGTCCCTACTGCACGCTTGCTAGGGCTGATTGTGGGTCCAGCGCCCGAGAGAGAGGTCGCTTATCTGCTTGGAACCACGTGAACAAATCCCTTGGACCAATCGCCGGGCCGCGAGCCCGACGGCGCAACCAACCAGCGCCCAGCTGGGGCACGAGCCCTCTCCCTGGGAACGTGATCGCCGCGGGTCTGGACATGCTGAGCGCAAGCTGGGAGCCCTGCGAGGTTTGGGGGCTCCTGGCCAGCTGGACTGAACCTCGTAACCCGAACCTTGAGCTAGGGGGCGTGCAGACGGCGTGGTAGTGCACGTACCCGATGCTGGCCAGGAGAAAAAGCTGAAGGCTCACCCAGGCCGGGTGCCAGCTCATCCAGGCTTGCAGCGTCTGTAACTTCAGAATATGTGCTGTGTCTAGGCAGAGTTGAATTTGAACACAGGTAGTTGTGGCTCGATCCAAATGTATATATTATCTGAAATGTTTGTATTGGTCATTCATTGCTTGCCGTATCAATTGGCTGCGTGATTTTGTTTTGTTGTTTAGGTGAGTCCACCGAAATGCACCATAATGACAAAGGCTGCCAGGACTTCCCAACTTCTCTACCAAACGTTTTTAGGAGAGCATGAGAACCCTTAAAGCAGTGAAGTATGCACTTTGTGGGGCCAGCAGGTGGTGTGGTAGTTATGAGATTCCAATGAGACTATCTGTTCGAGTCCCAGACCTGGCATTTGCTTTCTCACTTCTCTCGCGCGCGCGCTCTTTCTGGTGATAGTACATGCCCTGTATAGCAATTTTTAAAATAATAATAATAATTAAATGAATAATTTTTAAAAGCACTTTGTATTTCCATCTATTCTTCAATTTTCTCCCTGAAAAAGAAAACTAAAGCCAGAAATAAAATGGCCTTTTTATTCACAAGGCAATCAGAACAGTAGTGAACCCCAATCCCTCAGACACCCTTTGATGATGATGTAGAAATCAAAATATTAAAATAGCGCACAGTACATTTCACCACCCTCCCAAGCCAGCTCCTTTCATTGAGGTTTCATTATTTTGTTAAGTTCAGGAGATTTTTATTTTATTTATTAGGTTTTTGTCATAGCATGTGTGCTTGCCATAGAGAGACAAAGAAGGAAAGTTAGAAATCATCCCCCAGGGAGGGTGGTCATGCCACAATCCTTTCTCCTCCATTCTCCTCTCAGGATTTTGGACAGGTGCACCCACATACCCTGTGTGTATTTCAAGCCCCTTGATCCAGGACTCGAACCAGAGTCAGCCATGTGGGAATCCAGCACCTTCACCACACCACCTGCTGGCCCAAGCTTGGGAGATTTTTAGACCATCAGTTACAATCATAAAATTAAATCTCTAAGCCAAGCATAAATTAGTTTTATAAAACTCATGCCCTAGTTTTGCTCCACTAACTTAGCTATCTAGTAGTCGATGAAAAGGTACCGGGATCTTCTGCCTTTTAAGTGCCTGGCAAACAATGGGATTGTTACAGTTGTGTTAGAGTGAGGGGATAAGAACTCATGCAGAGTATCACTGGCAAAGATATTCATGTCTGGGCTTTAGATTTGAAATGAAATATCCAGCAAATGGTAAGTCTTCTAGACCTCAGATCAACCCAAAGTAGCTGAAAGGTTTTTGAATTTCACACTTCCTAACTACACGCATGTAGGCAGGTTCTGACCTCTTCTCTCATATAAAGCTGTTCTGAGGATTTAGTAAGATGGTGCAGATGAGGAAATTCAGTCCAATGCCCTGCTTCTGTGCTCAGCCCATGTCAGCTTTCAAGTCAGTACCCAACCCTTCAGTATTAGTTTTTATTCTATCACCTCAGCAACTTGGTGCTTGAACTAAAATAATGCTAATATTAACACATTAATAGCTACTTCTTGTAGAGACCTCACTACGTGACAAACACTGTTCTAAGTGCTTTGTGCGCTCACAATAACCCTAGGTGGTAAAGCCTATTATTAATTCCACTTTAAAGAAAGGGAAACAGGGGGTCAGCAGCTGGCGTGGTGGTTGGGGTGCTGGACTCCCATATAGCTGACCATTGGTCAAGTCCCAGACCTGGCAGCTTGCTTTCTCACTTTTCTGCTCTCTGTCTCTCTCTGGTGTGTATGCTTGCCCTGTAGCAAATTTTAAAAATAATAGCAATAAATAAAAAATGTAAAAAAGAAAGGGAAACCGAGGCACTGAGAGGTCAAAAAACCTGCCAGGGATCTTACTGACAGAGTTAAGATTTGAAGCTGGCTGGATAGAGCAGTAACCACTACACCATACTGTCTTCCCGTAATTACCCCATCAGCAATTAAGATGAGAGAAGTGGAAGGTGCTGTAGGTATCATTGGCATGGAACTCTTCATTTCACAGAGAAGCAATCTGAAACTTAGAGAAGTGAGCTGCTTGCCAGGAGGTGGTTAGGTCAGAGCCAAAACTAGAACCTAGATCGTCTTCCTCCACCAATGATCATATACTGAGCTAAAAAGTCATGGGGAAATACAAACTAATGAGAATTTATTGTGGTTCCTTTATGAAGGAAAGGTGGGTATACTTAGGAAATGAGTATGTTCCACCAACTCGTCAACAGTACTTATTGTGGCTGGCAGGTGGCATGGTAGTTAAGGCACTGGATTCCCATGTGGCTGACTACAGTTTAATTCCCAGACATGGTGACTTGCTTTCTCCCTTTCCCTTTCTGTCTCTCTCTGGTCAAATTAAAAAATAGTAATAACAAATGGAATTAAATAAATAAATAAATCTTTTTTAAAAAAAAAAAAAGTGCTTATCTGAGAATAGTGAGATTATGTCTCATTAAGAATGTCTTGGTTGTTTTGCTTCTCTGTGTTTTCTGAAGTTTTCTTTTTTTAATTTATTTTATACATTCAGTCACCATACATTGACACAGCTTGTAAAATAAGTTTTTCCAGTATGAACACTGCACACCAATCCAGTTAAAGATATCACCGTACACATTGTCATCCACTACAATGGCCATGGATGAATTTTGTAATGAGTTTTTAAAGGTCTTTAAACTTTCAGGCTCATCCTAATGTAGAGCCTCCCTGTGAGGAAGCTTTTCTGGACTCCTGTTGTTCCCTCACAGTGTCCTTTGAAGCTGTACTTGTTTTCACCTATACAGCTTTCTCTCCTGCCCCCTGGTGTTGACGAATGCCATGAAAGTCACCCTCTCCATTTCACATCCAGCAAATGGAAGATTCAGGAAAACAGCTCTCTGTCCTAACAGGAGTGGACAGTCAATAAACCTCGAAACTGGGTGATCCAAATCCCTCACTTCTGTCTCCTTGGCATTTACTGCCCTTCATTATGAGAAGAGAAAAATTACTACTAGGATGGCAGCAGTGTCTGAGCTGGGGATTGCACCGATGAAGGCAGGGTAGACCAGGAATTGTGGGGAGTTTCATTATTTTTCATGGGCTTCCTCCGACTTGTGGTTTGGCAGCCTCTGAGCATTGCTTTGTCTTACTCATCTTAACAATAAGTCTATCAGCAGGAGATTATTCAGCAGTGCGGTGTTTCCAGTGCCATGCCAAGGGTACAAGGATTCACAAGTCGTAGCTCTTTGACCTTGGCGGTGTTAAGATCTCTGTTACAGAAAACCAGCCTCATGAAATACCCAGGGGACATTTTAAGGAGCTACTGAGCAGGGAGCTGATGGTTGTGTGGCTTACACAAGGGGGCCTCTTGCACCATTCACTCACTGTATTACCAGGACGGCCCACAATGCCCTAGCAGGTTCTCAGATGGCCAGCTCACTTTCTGTAAGCTTGCCCTTTCTTTTTAAAGAATTATTTTATTTAACCGTATTTATTTTATTATCTTTTTTTTTTTTCAACTTGACCAAAGAGGGACAGAGTGAGAGAGAATGAATGAGAGAGGAGAAAGAGAAAGTGAGAAAGCAAGCTGCCAGGTCCAGGACTTGAACTATGGTCAGCCACATGGGAGTCCAGCACCTTTAACTACCATACCACCTGCTGGCCCCATGCATGCCTTTCTTTAGTGCCCATTTCAAGAAAGTGCTTGAGAATTCGGCCTGATAGTTATTAACAGAAAAGTGTTGACTCTGGTTAGCTATAACTGAGATGAAACTCTTCATTGATCTTCACACCCCACAGTGTAGTGAAGTTGTACACTATTCATTTTGATTAAAAGGGCTAATGTTTCTATTTTTGAGAATAAATAGGAACCAATTCACGTGTCTCAGAGAATAGTAAATCCTCTCTCAAATTATTTCCTTCTTTCAGCAACATTGGATGAGAACACCAATACCAGGTCAAGGGGTATAATTTAAAAAGAAAGACAATGGTACAGTGGAGAAACGCATTGTTTTGCAAAGCTGGTCCACATGGAAAGGTTCCAAGTTCAAGTCCAGAAACCTCCTGAGTATGCCAGACATGGGTGAGCCCATAACCCAGGGCAGACTGAGGCTGCGGTGAGTCACGGTATTAAGACCCTGTTTGTGCTCTCTGGACTTGACCTAGTTGGCGGCAACATGGCTAACCACACCAAGGTCAGCCTCATCGGTAAATACAGGACCCACTGTGGTGCCTCCCTCCAGAAAATGAAGAAAAGTGAAATGAGCCAGCACGCCAAGAACACTTGCTCCTTCTGTGGCAAAACCAAGATGAAGAGACGGCTGTGGGGACCTGGCACTGTGGTCCGGGGTGAAAACCGAAAGCCGGTGGGGCCTGGACCTACACCACCACTTCGGCTGTCACAGCGCAGTCTGCCATCAGAAGTCTGAGGAGTCGAAAGACCAGGAGAAGCCCCACAGACATTTGAAACATCACTAGCCTGCAATAAATGGGTCAATTTATGTAACCAAAAAGACCCTGTTGGTAGAGCTGTATTTGTTTCTCTATTTATTTCTCACTCATGGAAGAAAGAAAAAAAGAGTCTTCTTTTAAAAACAGATATTTAGGGACCAAGAGATTGCGTAATGGTTATGTAACTGGACTTCCACGTAGTCGACCACAGTACAAGTCCCAGACCTGGTGGCTTGGCTTAAAACTCATGCTGGGTGTGTGTGTGTGCGTGTCCAAAATCTGAAAAGGAGAATGAAGGAGAAGGGATTGTGGCATGACCATCCCCTCTGAGGGGTGATTTCTCACTTTCTGTCTGTCTGTCTCCATCTCTCCAACAAGTGCACACACCCTACAGCAAAAATCTCTCTCTCTCTCTGAAAAAAGA